TGGGATGATGGGATTATGATGTAGGCCTACATTATACAAAATTAGGTAGCTTTAGATTTGTGCGATGACGCGATGCTAGAATAGAATCACTCATTGGTGACCATCCTACCTGGACCACCCACCCTTGCAAGCACCACAAAACAGCTCATTCTTCGCTACCAACTAGACTCGTGCAGACGCATTTATTAGCCGCAAAGCTTACCATTCCAGGCCGTGATTGGTTGATAAACACAATGTATACAGCCGATTTGCAATCTGATCAATGAGGAACACGCTTTCATAGGCAACCCACCTTAGTGTTAAGAGGTATGATATAAAAACATACTTTTTCACATACTGTATTTCCCGACAATATTTTCGCAAAAACTCTTCATACTTTAAATTCCCCAGGCCTTATCTTCCATATCATCTTACTGGGAGATCTAAATGCTGATTAAAAATTAGACATAAACTTACACATTAACCCAATTAATATAATAGAAAATACATTTATCCTAACGCAACTTATTCACAAACCAACAAGAATTACAAGCAAGACTTCAACATGCATTGATCTTATCCTGTGCACTATTCCAGATCTACATTTCCTAACTAATGTTGCAAGTATTGCACTTATCGATCACTATTTAATTTATATGCATTAACACAAACATATCAAAACCAATGCATAAAACACATACTTTTCAAAATTACAAATCATTTGATGAGAGCAAATTTATTTCTGACCTAACAGAATGTATTACATTTAAAAACCTGAACAAAGACGATGACGCTCTAACTAAATGGAATAAATGGAAAAATTCCTTCCTTAAAATAAGCGACAGACATGCGCCCATAAACACAATGAGAGTAAAAGATCGATTTAACCCCTGGATGACTCTAGACATTACCAACTTGATTTATGAACGTGATTATGTAAAGTGTTTAGCCGATAAAAATTGCTGAGAGCCTTTAAGATGAGTACCGTACACTAAGGAACAAAGTGACGAATATTATTCGGAAATCCAAATCTAATTATTTTAATGAGGTTGAAATCAAATATAAACAAAACCCAAGAAAATTATGGAATGAACTCAACAAAGCCACTGGTAAAAATAACATTCCCCCTGATTTAGGTTGTAATGATTTCAGTAAACACTTTGCAAACATCGGTACGGATATCTCAAACTCAATAAAAGGTATGCTTGATAATATTCAAAAATGGTACATAGGAAATAAGCTAACAATTAATGCTGATAAAACTAAAGTTATGTTAATCAGGAACAAGTACAATATACAACATGATAGCTTGAGAATCCAAGTCAATTAAACCGAAATAGAACAAGTTAAACATATAAAATATCTAGGCATTGAAATTGATGAACACTTAAAATGGGATTATCACATTCAAAATATAAACAAATCGGTTAGCTATAAAATCCATATGTTAGGTAAATTGGCGAAAACCCTCAATAAATCTCTATTGGTAAAACTATATATAACTACAATTCAACCATGTATTGACTACTCAATCTCAGTATGGGGAAATACATCAAACAAAAATAAAAATATACTAACAAAGCTTAAAAAAAGAGCGGCAAGAATTATTTTAAATAATTTCGACTATAAAAATTATCATGGTGAATCACTGATTAAACAATTAAACTGGAAATTATTTGACGAAAGACGTAGTTTTGTTTTGGCTTGTCTATGTTTAAATTTATACATGGTTTGGCCCCACTACGATTATGAAACGAATTAGATATGGTTGTTGATCGACACGGATACTCAACTAGATGGCCTGATTCACTTAATGTTATACCACCAGTCTTAAACTGCAGAGCTATGGAAAGTTCCTTTAAAACTGCTGGGGCTAAAGTGTGGAACAATTTACCTTTTTCTATTAAACAATCTACTTGCATAAACAGTTTTAAATCACAATATAAAAAGCATTTCTTCAATGATTGATGGATTTTTTTTTCTAATTGTATAGGCTATGTTATGGTTTTCTGCTGTTTGTCATTTTCTTGCATTTTCAAAAATTGAAAATTTTTAAAATTGTATAGGACTTTTTATGGTTCTTCTGTTATGATTGTCTTTCTATTTTTTCTTATATTTGATTGATGATAATTCCTCTTTTTTCCGATGTATATATTTATCTCATTTTAATTTTTTAATTGGTCTAATACAGGACCATTTGAAAACCAGTTCATTCTGAAATGTTATCCTGTATAAAGATGTTTTAAATAAATAAATAAAAATAAATATTACTGCAAGATCGGACTAATCGCGTCACAAACGAAGGAAGAGATAGAAAAACAAATGACTTCAAAATTCGCTCAGAATCATCATATAAGCCCTCTCTCTTTAGATTGGGCTAAAAATGGGTTTAAAAAAAATAAAGATAGCCCTTGGCATTTTTAAAGTATCATGTTCCCGCATAAATACTGTAATTTTATATGCGATTTCCACCCCGAAGTTTGGGGTGTGACCTATATACCGGTCATTAACCTACTCCCAAAAAGTTCAGATTGCGAGCCGCAGCAAAAATCAGATACTGTCTGTTTAGGTTAGGCCCTTGCTAGCCCAATTAATTAGCCTAGGTTAGAACCGGATTGTAGGCCTAGTATTTGTTGTTTGGGATGTATTTCAGTTTATTTACTCAATTATTTCAATTTATTTAATACTCGGTTTTTGCACTGATTTATTAAATATTTTTGGGATGTATTTCAATTTATTTACTTGTTCTTTCTATCGTTTTAATTTAAATTTTGTGAGTACCGTATTTGCTCAGTCAGCTTGCCAGATAGTAAAAAAAAAAATCCATACATTCTTATCATTTATTATATATAACTTTAACAAATAGTACAAAAATAAAAAGTATATAAATTACAAAACCATAGTTAATACTGTATATTAACATAGGCCTAACATTTAAATTTATTGTTTATAGTCATCTGTCTAATTCAGTCGGCTTGCCAGATAGTAAAAAAAAAACAAAACTCCATACATTCTTATCATTTATTATACAGTATATAATGGTATATAATAAATATAATTTAATTAAATAATTTAACAAAATAGTACAAATAACGAATAAGTTAATTGAAATACACCGCAAACCAAACGTAAAAAATAATCAAGTTATTACATTTTTAATACGATTTTGCATGAATAATAAATAATAAATTTAAATGTGTTTTAGGCCTATGTTATTATACAGTATTTACTATGGTTTTATAATTCATATACAGTATTTTTATTTCTGTACTATTTGTTAAACTTATATATAATAAATAATTTAATTAAATAATTTAACAAAATAGTACAAATAACGAATAAGTTAATTGAAATACACCACAAGCCAAACGTAAATGGATTATGACCGGTTGAGCCGCCGACAAGTTGAGCTGCCGGTCATTTCTATGGAACGCCAAGCGCGTCTCTCAGTGAATGTAGTGCGTTAATTGCAGCGTATTTCAATTAACTTATTCGTTCTTGGTACTGTACTGTTGTTTGGGATGTATTTCAGTTTATTTACTCAATTATTTCAATTTATTCAATACTCGGTTTTTTGCACTGATTTATTAAATATTTTTGGGATGTGTTTCAATTTAAAAAAAAAACTCCATACATTCTTATCATTTATTATATATAAGTTTAACAAATAGTACAAAAATATAAAGTATATAAATTACAAAACCATAGTAAATACTTATAATAACATAGGCCTAACAC